CCGGCCCCTTCATGATTCTTTGAAATGAGGAGTGGATTAGTACTTGGCGACAATTTAAAAAACCAGGTGGGTCTATGGTTGACTTGTGAAGATCTCCAAAAGAATGTGCGCAGTCAGAGGGGGAGGATGGAGGAGCCTGGGAGGGAGGAGGAGCTGGCAGAGTGAACTCAGGTGATCACTCACACGGGGATGTGTAAGTGCGCGGTCCCACCAGCAGAGGGCAGGAGCAGCGATGGCATCAATGAGAAGGCCTGGGGGTTGAGGTGGCGCTGGCGAATCAGAGGAAGAGAGATGCAGATACCCCACTGCCCACGTCTCCATTCCCTCCTGTAGGACACATCACACGACTCATACGAGGACTCTTCCTAATCCCCTCCTGAACAGCCCTGTCTTCTTCTGGGTCTGGAACTCTGTCAATCTTTTCAGTGAACCCCCCTCTGCAGCAGGGATGATGGGGATTGTGGGGCGCGGGTTGCCTTGGAAGTCAGACCTCCCCACCCCGACGGGGTTGGTTTTCCACACTCAACTGCGTTAGGCCCAGCTGATGAATTTTTTCTCTTTGATGACGCTGTCCTGCAATTGGGGCTCTTGTAGGTCCTGGGGCGAGAGGGTGTCCGGGCAGCCCTGCCTCTTGGCTCCTCCCTTACTCGCAGGGCTTTTCTTCTCAGGCTCCCCGCTAAGCTCCCCCTCTCCCGTGGGGAGTTGCTGTTGGAGACTCAGGGATCGCCTACGGTCCTCTCTTCACCGGCTCTTGGGGGGTCTTATGCAGCCTCATGCTTGAACTGCCCCTCCTCTCCCACAGCTCCTCGAATTTCCCTTAAGCTTCGCTCTCTCTCAGCTCTGGACTAGTACATCCCACTGCCTACTTTGCATCTTCACTAGGACGTCAGTGTTGGACACTTCAAACTTCACGCGTCCCACGTGGAAAATCCTCATCACCTTCTCTGCTCCCTGCCTAAAACTGCGGCCAGCTCAGCAATGCCCTGAGATGACTGTAATGCGCCATGCGGCCGGAAGAGGGCAGCAGCGCCCGCGCAATCCTGTGCTGGGCTCCTGTTGGATGCCAGACCCACGCCAAGAAGGTGTGCTGGGTTCCCTCCAACCCAGCAGCTCAGGCCTCCCTGCAGGGCCGCTGAGAGACTGGAGAGGGCGGTCGAGAGGCGCATGTACTGGTGGTTGATTCCCAAGGTGGCCAGGATGTCATGTGGGAAGAGACAGGGGAGTGGGTGAGTTCCTGAATGGTCCCTGTCATGGCCTTCCATGGAGTGGCCAAAAATAGACATCCTTTGGGGGTCCACTGGAAAATTGGCATGTATGAGTTGGGGAAGCTCCTCTGTTACATAAGAGTACATTCTGTAGTCAGTTCTCCAAGGATCTTCAGAGGCATTCACATAAAACCCTGCTCTGGTGCCGAAGTGCCAGCTACCATCTTCCCCTTTAATATGGCACCCACGAGGGCCGGTATCTGCAGCAGTGTTGACAAGGCTGTGTTCTGGGGCAGCTTGATGATAACCAGATTTTGATGTAAAAGTTTGCTCTGTGGAAGTTAAACCAGAAAGCCAATACAGGGCAGGGCACTTTCCAGTTTCTGCCTTTGGTGGTAAGTAGACAGCAAATTTCATTTTACATTTCAGCTCCAGGGCTGGGGATTTAGCTCGGTGGTTTCGCCACCTGCTGTGCAGGCGCAAGGACCCGAATTCGATCCCCGGTACCAAAAAAAAAAAAAAAAAAA